TATCCACTTCCTGATCTCCTACCTGGATCTTCCTGGATCTCTTTTCTCTTTTCATCCACTGCGAGAGGGTGCTATTTATAAGACTGAGCTGAATAGAGCACCTCAGACTGAAGAAGTCTTTTGGATGAAAGACAAAACGTTTCTACAATTCTTTTTTTTTGTTTGTTTTTTGAATGTCCAGAGGACCAGGTTTAACTTTTTTACATTTTGTATTGAGTTTTATTTTTTGGACCTTTCTCACCTCCTCAGTTTTCACCACATTCTATGACAATTTAAGGAACAATCAATACAATATTAAAAAGAAATGGTACAACACCAACCTTTTCAAATTTATCGAAATTACATTACTAATTAAACACTGAAAGATGACTACGTGTGCACACCAACTTTCATTTTGCATTTCAAATATTTTTCACACCTTTTCTGTACAGTAGTGTGTTGTTCTACAAATGAGCTGCAAAATGCTGCAAAATGCTGCAAAATGCGATTTTTAACTAAACAAATTTAAAGCTTACAGTTATCTCAGTTCGTGCGACTTAGTTCGCTGTGGCGACCTCTGAAGAAGGGAGCAGCCGAAAGAAGAAGAAGAGTTAACTCAGTCTGCTTTGGTATTTATATACAATAAAACAAGCGTGGTTTTAGAAAAACAAACTTAAGATCATTTAAAACCTTGTCAAGATCCCTATTCTTGTTCTGTTTTTCTTCCACTAATCACCCTAATTTTCAAGTTGAGTGTGAGAGGGGTGTTCATGTGGCGGTGCTAACTCTGACAGCACTCACAGCAGCTGTCAGCTATGACCGCTGATTACTCCTGCAACATATTTAAGGCTGAGTTGCACCATTATTCTTTATTGAACTCTTAAATGATACTCCATGATGTTCACTAGCCAACCTCTTGAGAAACTGCTATCTAACCTAACCTGTGAGGATTTCCTCCTTGAAATGCCACCTTATCGTGGATCAGGAGTTTGTGCGCCTGAATTATCCTAGGAGCTATGCTGTCGGGGGGAAATGTAATTGCCCCTGGTAGGGTCTCCCAAGGGAGATTTGTCCTAGGTGACAGACCAGAAAAAGAGTAAATCCAAAGACTCAAATGGACAGAAAATAGCAAGGAGCTCTGTGTCCCTTGCCTGGATGTGGGTTACAAGTGCCCCATCCTTGAGCCAGGACTGGGTGAGGGCTCACTGGTGAGCGCCTGGTGACCAGGTCGCTACCCACGTGGCCCAGTCAGGCTCAGCCCCAAGGAGCAACTAGGGTTTGCTTTCCTGTGGGTCCATCACCTGCAGGAGGGACCATACAAGTTGGGTGCATGATGCCATGGGCAGTGGATGAAGGTGGATGCCTAGGCACTCTGACTCTGGCCTAACAAAGCTCTTGGGACATGGATGTGACCTCTCTGGCGGGCAAGGAGCCTGAGCTTGTGCATGAGGTTGAGAGGTAATGAATAGATATAATTGGGCTCACCTTAACGCACAGAATGGGCTCTGGAACCGATCTCCTTGAGAGAGGTTGGACCTTATTCCACTCTGGAGTTGCCCATGGTGAGAGGCACCAAGCTGGTGTGGGTCTACTCTTAGCCCCTCAACTTGATGCCTGTGTGTTGGAGTTTTCCACAGTAGATGAGAGGGTAGCTTCCCTGCGGGGGGAGCTCTGATGGTTGTTTGTTTCTATGCCCAAACATCAGTTCACATTACTCATAACACATTTCTGCTCCAACCTGCCATGTTTCTCTTTTCATTCATGCCCTGTTTTATGTTACAGTCTCTGTAATGCCTATCACTGCACTGCAGCTGCACTTCCTGCTCTGCTCACTTAACCACACCCACTCTGCTGAGTCACTGCAATCAGCCCTCATGCAGCTCACCTGTTGTCACCTGTATTTAAACCCCACAGCCACACTACTCAGTGCCAGATTATTGAAAGCCTCACAGTGAGGAAATGTCCAGCATTCATGACATAGTCTCGTTTGTCTTCCTGGTTTTGACCTTACGCCTGCTCCACGGATTCCTCACCTTGCTCTCTGCCTGTCTGTTTTGAATTATCTGCTCTGCTTATGGAAATGACCTCGACTTCCTCTATAACGACCACGATTTTTGGATCTCGTCTCAAGTTTGGCTTCGGATCTCTGACCACCCGTGTATCGACCTTTTCTGTTTCTCTGAACCTGCCATTTGGATTTCCCTCCTTGCTGCTCACTGCTCAGCTCAGTCTCAAAACCGGTTCATCTTCACCACCGATGAAGTCACCAGAACCATCTCCTTCAATGAATCGCTCCCTCATCTGTCTGTGAAGATTGTGCCGGCCCAAGGACTAAGACCGCCACCAGAAGCAGTTTATTAGTAAATCTTTTAAACCTTCCTGCTGTCTGTGATCTGGTTCGTATCCCTAAACCCGGTTCTTGTCAACTCAGCCCTCTTGGAGTCCTTAGGTGGTGTACTGGATGGTGCTCCTGTCCTGCTGGGGAACTTCACTGCCCTCGTGAGTAATTATAGTGTGACCTGAGGAGTGTGATTGGGAAGAACAGCCTCTCTGATCTGATCCTGAGCAGTGTTCTCTTGACGGACTTCAGTGCTAGTCATGGTTTGTCCATCATGAACACCATATTCAAATATAAGTGTGTCCATAAGTTCACTTGGTACCAGGACAACCTAAGTGATTGAAATGATTGAATTTGGAGTTCTGTCATCTGATTTATTTATTTATTTATTTTTAAACATTTGGGTGAAGAGAGGAGCTGAGCTGTCAACTGACCACCATCTGGCAGTGAGTTGGATCAGATAGTGGAAGAAGATGCCGGACTAACCCATTAGACCTAAATGTGTAGTGAGTTTTTTTTTGTTTGTTTTTTTCTGTGAGTGCCTGGCAGAAGAACACGTCAGAAAAACCTTAATTAAACTCACACCTCTGGGAGAGCTTTAACCACATCCCAGCTGAGGTGGGGGACATTGAGTCTAAGTGGGCCATGTTCCACACCTCATTGTTAAGGTTGCTGCCTTGAGCTTTGGCTGCAAGGTTATTGGTGCTTCTCGTGGAGGCCATGCTCAAACTCAGTGGTGGACACCCCGGGTAAGGGGGGAGGGTGTTTAGGATGCAAGTGTTTACAAATGTAGGTACTGTAAATATAGATGTTTAACAACCCGTTAAAACACACCAAAATGCAGGAAATCACATCTACTTTATTCAAAATTTTCTGGGGAGGACCCCTGTACCCCCTCCACCACCACCACCACCACCAGCTGGCCTGCCTGTTATTTGCATTCCAGCATCAATCGGTTACCAAATTAAGCCCTGGCTAGCAGGTATAATCATTAAACAGCAACACCTAAGGAGAAAAAGCAGGACCAGGTGTGCAGCATCACACACTAAGGAGGGGATGCAAAGAAGACAGAACCTGAAACTACATAAACCTGGAAACAAGAATAAAAATAAATACAATCACAGAAAAACGAATGAGGAAACCCAGTCCTTACACCTACAAAATTAGCTTATGGTGTTTTTTCATCTACTGCTCATTGTTGTACCAAAATGATGCAAAATATATTTTACAAATATTTAACGTGATAACTAGATGGTCCACAATAATTAATTTTAGAGAAATTCACAGGAATCCCTCAAGGTCAATTGAGCCAAGTAAAAGATCTATTTCTGTGACTGCCTGTTTTCCAAGACCTGATGTCTCACAGTACATCTCTTTTTAAGACAGTCTAGTCTTTGTGTTCTCTTTTGCTCTATATTTTTCTTAATATATATTTTTTGTAGTCAAACGAGATAGAGAGAGAAAACATTTCTTTCGGTATGTTGACATTCCTTTTGTCTAAGAATGATGTTTAACACAGATTCTAATCCCACTTTTTAACCTGATAATACATTTTATGATCATTAGTAGTAACTCACGACTTTATGTCATTGCCTACAAAACCGTTCAAACATCTCAAATTTGTATGAAACAAAAAATTCTAACATTACTTGTAAATATCCAAATATTTTAGAGAAAATGTGTCTTAAAAAACCTCAATCCTGCAAGAACTAATATCAAACAATACTGTTTCAGAGTTGTAAAATTTTGGATTAGTTTCAGTGATGAAATTTTAAAAACGTAAAACATTAGAAACATGTCAACAAATCTTTTAAATTAAATTTACAATACAATATATGATACAAATAAAATCTAATGCAAATCTGTGAGTGTAGAAAAGAAAATATATGGACAAAAATACTGACGTTCTCTGGTGTGTTGTTATCATTGTCTTCTTTTAATTATTGGCCTTTATATAAATCTCATGTACATAAATTCTATTCATGAGAAGTAAAGATGAATGATAAGGCGTTTATAATCTGCAGCTTCAGCCTTCACCCTTTATTGAAATTAATCAGTCTTAGGTGAACATTTGGAATTCTGCATCTTCAAATAAATTATAAATAACACTTTTAAATGTATTTAATAAAGGTGATCAATACATAGTGAAAAGTACAAGGGACATATGTAGCCTTTGCCACAGAAAAAGAAAAAAGAAAAGTTTAAATTGTTACCAAAATCAAGCCACCGGAAGAGGATATAAGAATGCGCTTTTCTCAAGACAAGTCAAGCTCTTCCTTAACTCATGCTTCTAACAAGAAATGGAATGAACCCATTTCAACCAGGTTGTTTCCTATTTCTAGTAACACACATTAAACTGGTGTTTGTGATGCTGTTTGTTGTAATGACTGAAGCTGAATATGAGTCACTTCATTGTTTTATGGCCTTTGAAACTAGTTTACTGTGATTAATAGACTTAAATGGCAAAAATGATTAGTCTATGTTAAACAAAAACTGTTTAATAAATAATTTTACCATCACGTAATGTTTTGACCATCATATAAAGTCATTCTGGATAAAATAAGATTTTTAAAAAATCCTATAAAACTATTCTTGTTATACATAATTTAAAAATTGTTAGATAAGAACTTTTCATTCAAAAACAAGACTAACTCTATGCTGATGTCTGAGTGGCTGAACAAACCTCTGTTGCTGCAGATTTTGCCATCTGGGGATATGCACCTCCGCTTGCTTTCCCAAGGGCTGATGTCACACTGAAACTCGCATTTGTCTCCATGCCAACCAGCAGCACAGTAACAGTTTCCACAGTAACACTTGCCATGGCCTGAAAGCATATAGAACAACTCGTAAGTTTTTTGCAGAAGTCTTACTCATTTTAAAGTGATAGCTCAGATTCTTTTAAGTGGATTTCTGTGGAAAGCTTATGAACAGGCAATATCTTACCTGTTGCCAATAGCTTTTTGAAAAATATCAGATTGGAGAAACAGTTCTGATCAGATTACCAGCTAGTCTGAACAGGGTCAAATTCAAAGTAGATGGCTCCTGTACTAACACTGCCACTGCAAGAACTGAGGCCTCAGGTTATTTTTTATACAAGAGCAGAAGGAGGATTAAAAAAACTCAGATATGGAGAGAAAAAAACATGGCTGTTCATGCAAAAGCTGTTTTATAAAACATTATAGCACCTCAATTTTATATTAAATTTATTAACACAGAATTTTATAATATGAAATCGTTGGTTACGTACTGTAACCCCAGATTCTATGAATATAGGCGTAGCCCTTTAAGGCTGTCGCTGATGGGTTTATCCCGTTATGCAGAGCATAAGCACTGAAAAAATTAGTCCACGCCCACCTGCTGTGTGGGCCCCACCCGGTCCGTATAAATTACGTTAAGAGCGGGAAATCGGCTCCCAAAATAGCTTTTTCTTCAGCCATTTAGGAGCCAGTGAGGCCCGACGCTTAAAGGGCTACGCCTATATTCATAGAATCTGGGGTTACAGTACGTAACCAACGTTCTATTTCATATAGGCTTCGCCCTTTAAGGCTGTCGCTGATGGGTTAAGGGCGAAGCGGATGTGGTCCTCGCCTCACTGGGTCCATTCGAACACAGTAAGAAGCGGAAGCTTGCCCAAAAAACGTCTTGTCACTCAGCTCCCCGTGTGCATAACTACGCATC